AATGTAAATATTTATATTTTCCCACATCATTTTCGATGTAAGCAGAATGTATGCGGGAACGAATTTCAAAATATCTTAATATTTCATTTTCGGTTTCGGCTTCGGTTTCGGCCGAAATTCATTTTTAACTTTCGGTCTTTTTTCGGTTTCGGCCGAAAGTCATTTTTAAACTTTCGGCCTTTTGTCGGTTTCGGCCGAAAGTCATTTTCAACTTTCGGACTATTTTCGGCTTCGGCCGAAATCAGAAAATCACTTTCGGTCGGTCTCTACTTACAACCATGTTAGCACCGTGCTCCCACCCAGCTTAACCCCCCCCCTCTCCCCGGGAGACACACGCACACGCATGCAGAGGACCTTGACCTGCAGTAAGTTGAACTCACCCCTTCCTCACAGAACTCCAGCTGGTCCTGGAGCGTCTCGATGTTTGACCTGAGAGCGTTGATGACGAGGTCGTTGGGCAGTGACATCATGTCCGAGGCTTGGCGAGGTCATGTCGTGGGATAAACATGGTGGAATTATTAAATTATCAAGTTGCTAGAAATTTTGGGGGAACACATTACGACAAGGGGAGCATCTTCTGGCCCAATAAGTAAAACATGATGGATTTATCAAAGGCATTTTCACCCAAATCTTGTACAAAGAGAATGTTAAGGAAAAAAAATTCTTTTGAATTTTCTTAAAATGGTCAGCGTGTTATTATTGCAAGCAAGGAAAAAAAAAAAGAATTAAACCAAAGTCTTGCTTTGGGAGTATTATCTGAACTGTTTATAGTTAGTGACAATAACATGGATGACCTACTGATGAATTGGCTAAAAATAGCATATATTCATTACGCTTAGAAACAATCGTCACTATTTATAAAGGCTCAAATACAAAATATAATTTTAAAAAGTTACAGGGAAATAAAAATGACACTTTAAAAATATTTCAATTAGAATATATGGTTGTTACTGGTTGGAAGATTGTATTATTATTTTTGTATGTGTCACAATGTAATTTTTTTTCATCATAAGATTTTTTTTTTCTATATCAAAAGTTGAAATGCATAAAAAACCAGGCTTTGCTATGTTTAACTACCTTTCTAATCGATTGAGATTTCGTTGTTTTGATGTTACAAAATCCCAAGTGCAAAAAAAAAAATAAATAATAAAAAACAGAAAAAACACATACACACACACACACATATGTGCTCACACAAACACAAAAAACATATGCAAATTAATTCAAAGTTCAAAAATTTACCAGAAGCATCTTGGTCCACTACTGAGTGAATAATCTCCTCCATCTTACTGTCACTATTGACACTGGTGACTGGGTCATTTGTCACAGCCTGGGCAGCTGTTTCGTTGGATGCATTGTTTCTCGAGACGGATCCGTGCACGCCAGTTTTCGGTGCGACGATCGAGGTGGGTTGAGTCCCGCCTGGTGCGCAGCTGACAAGACTGAACGCAACAGCACGGCAGCACAGAATGAACATAGCAGAGGAACGCATGGTGGGGGTCACTCTTCTTTACAAGGACACCGAGAGAGAAATGAAACGAAAAGGTTTATGGAAACGCAGCTCAGAATAACACCAATGACTTTCTTAGTTAGATCCTTTTAATGACGCTTTCCCATTTTACACGACATCCTTTTAATAGCACGAACCTGTTAAAAGCCTGTCTTTTTTAAATCGTGACTTAATAATATATAAACGCACGCCTTCTGTTAGACAGTTAACACATGCAACACAAACATTTCAATGTTTTGGTTAAACGAAATCAAACTATACGTCATAACGTATAGCGTAGTACAATGGTTCTCAATCTTTTTGAAGTTGAGGGACAGTAAAGTTGGATTAATTTATTTTTTTGCACGGAATCCTTACATTACAAGATTCAGTTATTTTCATGATGATATTGCGTCCTTGATTTAAAAAAAAAAAAGATTGGCCAGCCCTGCTTAAAGCTTATGTTGTATTGTAAGTGTTCCGCACAAATTAAATTAAAAAAATATCTAAGTTTAGTTTTGGCCACCCTTGTATAAACGTGTTACCTTTATAAAAGATGAAAATACCGATATTGATTTATGCAAACACAATTATTAACAAAAATACTTTAAATTACAATACTTACAAAAAGCACACACAAAAAAAAACAAAAAAAAAAAACACCAAAAACTTAATGCGATACTTGACCTTGGTGACCTTTGCAGATTTCAGCAATATAATATAAATATAAATGATAAAGTCCCTCGCATATCCTCTTCTAAACTTCCAATGCTCTCTCGTTTCTTTGTTTTAATATTTTCCATTTAGGAAAATCCTGCTTCGAAGAGATATAATGTGGGGAAATAACAATCAAGTTTTTAGTGATTTCTTGTTGTTGTTGCTAGACCCGGGTATTCATCATTATCCGGGATCCATATATTTTTCCGGAGCATCGTCAATGAACTTCAATTTGAATCCACGATCTGATGAGAGTGACGTCACTTCTTCTTCTTCATTCAGAGGATCAGTCGGAGAAGTCGGAAGAAACGAACGGGTTTCTAAATCTAATGAAATCGTTCAGTGTTGAACGATGTCAAATTTTTGTCAAAATTTTCTTCTGTTGTTGTTAAATATTAGATTGTTAAATAAATAGTTGCCCCGATGGTATCCTGAACAGACGGGAACATTTCTGTGTTTGTTTCTCTTACCTGTCTCCTTCAAAGTAAAAGTAGTTCTCAAACTGCACCCAATATCGTCAGTCAATGTAAGAATATTTTCGTCGTGTACTTGCACACTTATATTGGCAGTATTAAAGTAAGTTAAGAACCGAGAACCACTTTAGCACAACCAACCAGCTTGTTATGGACGTACCTATTCCCAGGCAACTTTAAAGGTATCCAAGGCCTAAAACATGAATCTTGAGCCAACCAGCGTGACGTCATAATCCACGTAATTTTTTTTTTCAATGCAAAAAATCAAATCAATTAGCCTACTGGAAATCAGCCAAATAAATCACCTTGACTGGTCAGAATTCAATAAATGTGAGCTACACAGGATCTCTCTCTCTCTCTCTCTCTCTCTCTCACCCACACACAGACACACACACACACAAACACACATAAATACACATACATACACACTTGTGCAAATGGAGAAAAAAAAAGTTCACTGTCATTCACGTTGGCTGATTACAATCCTATACAATAATATTTTAAAATAGAATTTATTTTTTTTTTCTCCACGGAACTCTTGAAGTGGCTTCGCGGAGCATCAGTGCTCATGTGTCCCACAGAGCAGAGATTGAGAGCAACTGGGCTTGTCTACGCATTTAAAACAATTTGTAATTTTTTTTTTTTTTTTTGTAAAAAAAACGGAGCAAAAAAAAAATTTTTTAATAGTTTTTTGTTTTTAAAAAAATATTTTATACTTACAAATTACAGTGTTCTTAATGCGTTAATATTCTTCAAGTCGTTAAATCAATCAGTCTGAAAGCGTGAGTGTGATGTTTGCTCATGAAATAAAGCGAATACCACTGCAGGGAAACATAAACATATATATATATATATATATACATATATGTATATATATATATATATATAGGCCAGAACTTGAGTGTGTCGACAAACTGAGATGTCTGAGAAATAAACAGTTTTGGGAAATAACGTGGTGACCAATTTGGAAAGATTGTCTATCTAGCGTATACATGACATCCAAGTGTGATGTTTGCTCATAAAATAAAGCGAATACCACTGCAGAGAAACATAAACATATATATATATATATATATACATATATGTATATATATATATATATATATATATATATAGGCCAGAACTTGAGTGTGTCGACAAACTGAGATGTCTGAGAAATAAACAGTTTTGGGAAATAACGTGGTGACCAATTTGGAAAGATTGTCGATCTAGCGTCTACATGACATCCTTAAAACAAACCTACATAAATGACATCCTATCAAACAAACTTAGAGAAATGGCATCCTATCAAACAAACCGACATAAATGACATCCTTAAAACAAACCTACATAAATGACATCCTATCAAACAAACTTAGAGAAATGGCATCCTATCAAACAAACCGACATAAATGACATCTTAAAAACAAACCTACATAAATGACATCCTATCAAACAAACTTACATAAATGACATCCTAAAAACAAACCGACATAAATGACATCCTATCAAACAAACCTACATAATTGTCATCATTTGAAACGAAAGTGATGATTCCTAACATAAAAACAATATAAAGAGACGGTTGCTACGAGACTCACCAGTGTAGAACATTTAACTGAATTATTCTCACAAGACTTGATAAAAATGTAAATAACTTTTAAGGTTTCATTAAAATACAAAATATAAAATCATTGTGTCTGATTTCTTCTGAAAATGAACATCGTAGTTGAAACATGAAGAAAAATAACCAGTTCAACGACAGTCATGATGCACTGCTAAATTCTGCCATTCGCCACTCCGCCACTCCGCGCGTTCCATTCAACGTATTTCGTCAACGTGGCAGTGCTCAAAGTAGTGTGCTGGATACTTCACTGCTCTCAAACGACCACTTGCTTATCTTTGAACTTTTACAAATTTTTCTATTGAAATAGCACCTCAAAGACATAATTGTAGATTTCAATAAAGGGAAATTGACTTTCAAAATGATTTCAAGCTAAATAGTCAATTCTTAGGAAACTTACAGTAAAAACAAAATTTGATTTTCTTTTTTTCGGAAAAAAGTTAGTGATGAAATGATGAAATAAAATTTAGCCAAATGTTTAATTAACCCCACGCTTCTATTCCAGATTAAACCATGCAGTAGTCGGACGGAACTTTTTGACCAGCACCTCGTCATCCGTCTTTGTCCCTTTTACATCCAGATGACACCATACTCGAATCGTGACAGTGGAGACAGCGGCAAAAAATACAGAATTATGTATATGGACATGCAGCCGTGAGAACGCTGCCCCTAGGCAACCGTTTCGTCCCAGCTACAGCGTGAACTAGTCGCGTTGTGGAAGCCCACTGTGGAACCCCTCTTATAGGGCGTCCGACGCTTTCCCGGGATGGGTGTGGGAAGATATTAGGACGTAAATTTTTCCATCCCAACTCCTGAGAAAGTCGATCGAGTGCACTGTTTAAACGCATAGTGTCGGTGTAGGTGGTTGGATGGCTGGGCTGTAAGAACATATCATTCCACATTTATGTAGGTGGTTGGATGGCTGGGCTGTAAGAACATATCATTCCACATTTTGTAGGTGGTTGGATGGCTGGGCTGTAAGAACATATCATTCCACATTATGTAGGTGGTTGGATGGCTGGGCTGTAAGAACATATCATTCCACA